GTAGCTGGTATTTTGGCCCATTCCTCCATGCAGATCTCCTCTAGAGCAGTGATGTTTTGGGGGTGTCGCTGGGCAACATGGACTCAAACACAAATTTTCTTACTCCACAAAAGGTCTGGAGACTGGCTAGGCCACTCCAGGACCTTGAAATGCTTTTTACGGAGTCACTCCTTAGTTGCCCGGGCGTTGTGTTTGGGATCATTGTCATTCTGGAAGATCCAGCCACCTTTCATCTCTCACTGATGGAATGAGGTTTTGGCTTAAAATACATGGCCGCATTCATTCTTCCCTCAACACGGATCAGTTTTCCTGTCCCCTTTGCAAAAAAACAGCCCAAAAAGCATGATGTTTCCTCCCCCATGCTTCACAGTAGGTATGGTGTCTTTGGGATGCAACTCTGCATTCTTCTTCCTCCAAACACGACGAGTTGAGTTTTTACCAAAAAGTTCTATTTTGGTTTCATCTGACCACATGATATTCTCCCAATCCTCTTCTGGATCATCCATATGCTCTCTGGCAAACTTCAGACGGGCCTGGACATGTACTGGCTTAAGCAGGGGGACGTGCCTGGCACTGCAGGATTTGAGTCCCTCTCGGTGTAGTGTTTTACTTATGGTAGCCTTTGTTACTTTGGTCCCAGCTCTCTGCAGGTCATTCATCAGGTCCCTCCGTGTAGTTCCGGGATTTTTGCTCAACGTTCTCATGATCATTTTGACCCCACGGTATGAGATCTTGCGTGGAGCCCCAGATCGAGGGAGATTATCAGTGGTCTTCTTGTATGTCATCCATTTTCTTACAATTGCTCCCGCGATTGATTTTTTTCACATCAAGCTGCTTGCCTATTGTAGATTCACTCTTCCCACCCTGGTGCAGGTCTACAATTTTCTTCCTGATGTCCTTCGCCAGCTCTTTGGTCTTGGGCATGGTTGAGTTTGGAGTCTGACTATTTGAGGCTTGTCTTTTAAACAGATAACGGGTTCAAACAGGTGCCAATAATACAGGGAACGAGTGGAGGACAGAAGAGCTTCTTAAAAAAGAAGTTACAGGTCTGTGAGAGCCAGAAATCTTGCTGGTTTGTGGGTGACCAAATACTTATTTTCCACCATAATTTACAAAGAAATTCTTTAAAAACCCTACAATGTGATTTCCTGGATTTTTTTGTAATTTATTTATTTATTTTTTCTATTTTGTCTCTCGTAGTTGAAGTGTACCTATGAGGAAAATTACAGACCTCTCTCATTATTCTAAGTAGGATAACTTGCACAATCAGTGGCTGACTAAATACTTTTTGGCCCCACTGTATGACGTTCTCACATTATAATGAACAATGCGTCATAGTTATTGTGTTATTACAAACTGAGTACGTATACATCAGTAAACACATAGCGTTCGTACATCTCACTAAGTTACCATACCCTGCCAAAGAACAAAGAAAGATCAAAGTGACGTTACGTTAGCCAACCATTCAGAAATGTCCTGTGTGAGCCTTAAAGGCACACTATGCAAGAATTGTACCTTAATATAACAGCTTCAAAGTCATTTCGCTGGTAAACAAACTCATTGTACCGCGAATCATCCTGGTAGTAAAGCTTGGGGGGGGCGCTGCTGGAAAAACCAGCAATGCAAGTTTGAGAGGAGAGCCGCCGACAAATCTCGCGAGAATCACAACATGCTTTTTACGGCAAGGACGTCACACACATCAACCACATCATGAAGCACGAAGACACTTGCGCGCATTTCAGACGTGATACTCGACGGTGGAAAAAGCAAAGAAAACGTGGTCTGAAGAGACTAGATAAAGGAAAAGAGTACGAGTCTCTCTGCTCAACCTGTAAATGTAAATGTATCAATCCGCACGTTTTGTTCGAGTTCTTTAATGGTCTAGTGGTAAATCTTTTTCCAAGCGTGTCAGAGGTTACAGGTTCTAAGTTTTTTCTCTCTCATCAAAACTGAATATGTTCATCAGTGGTTACAGTCTATATCAAGCAGGGACACGTTTTTGTGCATTTTATGTTGTGATTTCACCGGAATGAATAGGAGGCTCTGCAACTGCGATAGATTGTGAAGATTGAGTGAAGACTGTGCACGCGCCGCCACAAGAAACATAATGTATCCATGACACTGGTAGCAGCAGACATGAGCGCTCAGCTTGAGTTCAAAAAAATTTTTTAGCACTAGATCTCTTATTTAAAGCAAAAAAATAAACACTATGCAAGATTTGTGCATTATTATAACAGCTTCAAATGGGTATCAGGCTGTGAGTGCAGAGACCAGCCTATGGCAGAGACGCTCTGCGTGAGTGGTATGTACGACAGTAGCATTAAATACAAGTACTCTAGAGCAACTCTAGGGGTCATTGTTTGACAAAAACGGAATTCCTGCATAGTGTGCCTTTAATCGTCGAACTTCATTGTGCCTGTCATCTTATTCCGGGTCTGTTTCAAATGTATACAGTTGCACAGATGTGTCCATAGAGACTCCTGCTGCCATTCTTTCTCCAAAATATACCCTCAACTGTTGTCAAGGCAACACTCCACATGCGTTATGTCAAAGCGCTTGCAAAACAGAGGAGCGGGGTGAGTGAAGCTCCTTATTATTTAAAGGCATATGCACTGAAACGGCGTGCTGAAAAAAAGAGCTGTTTTTTACCAGGTAAAATTTGTGTTTTCTTAAAATACTAATGATGAATTTTCAATAAAAGTATATTACAAAGTTTTCATTTAGACCCTAAATAATCCAATTAACTTGTATAAAAATGGCATTATATGACCCCTTTAAAAGAAAATTGATATTAATAAAAAAATGATAAATTAATAACTTTTGACAAACTTTATTTTAAAATAAATTGATATTAATATTTATATTGTTTTACTTTTTTTGTTGTTGTTGCAAACTTGTCAGACCTTGCACTAATGCCTAACCTTGGAAAATAAATTCAAAAATTAAATAACTTTCACAGTCACGTTCAGTTTACCTTACTTATTTTGAATAAGTAATTTTTTCACAACTGCTAAAAAAAATTCTTTATATCTTTATATGTCAGTACCATGCTGTCAGTATCATTAATAAATCCTCTCTTGTGGCCTCATGGGATAGTAAAGTGTCCATCGTATGCACACTTCAGAATCCCGCCGGAAATGGGTCATCCTGGCTCTTTTTGCCTAATCTTCTATTAGTACTGTGAATTCGGCCATACTCCTTTTGTCACCTACTCTTTTTGCCAACTATATAGTAAGGAAGTATGCAATTTCGGATGTAGCCTTTGTTTCCATGGTTCTTGATTTAACTACGCACCTAGTTCTGTTAATTACCATTCCCATGTGTATTGGCTGTGTGAGTTCTGTCGATTCTTGTTTGGGTGTTAATCTATGATTTACGCTTCTCCTATGTTGTTCCTGTGATCCCCTGAGTATTTTGCATTGTGAAAAAAGACTGTCTTTTTGTGGGTTACTAGTTAATAACTAGGACAAGGCATTTTGTTTTTTTGTTGTTTTTTATTGTACAAAATTGCTAAAAACAGCTTATGTTTTGAATTGAATTGCTAAAAACAGCTTATGTTATGGAATGCTTTTATATGGAACTTCTTGAATATTTGAAATCTTTCATCACTGAAAAGTCAATTGTCATGTTTGTCACCATATTTTGAGAATGACTACATTGCTAATCCCTGCAATATTAGTTATTAGATTTTGTTGTACTTGTGGCCATAAAAATAGATTATTAATGTTTATGTGATAAAATTTCTGACAAACTCAATGACTGCGTAAATAATTGTATGCGTTTGTTTTGCAGGAGAAAGTGAGAATGAGGTACAAGCTGACATTCATCCTTGGAGATCGACAGGTCACGGAGTCTGGAGAGATAGACAAGTTCCCTCCAGTAGAAAGATGGGGTCATTTATAGCTGTGTACACACTGTTACTCATGAAGAGAAATGGAAAACACAGTGAGCATCAATGAGCCTTCGACAGTGTCTCAAAGATATGTTCTGGCCAGGACTTTACCTTTGACACACTGGATGTTACATTTATAAATCCCAATCTTTGAGTAATCCCCCACATATCTTGATATGCTGGTTTTAGGTACTCAATAGGTTCTGTTGTCATTAACATAAGCAGTTTGCATAGTAATGGGTCATTTTGTTGTCAGCCACCACTTGGACAGGTTACAATTTTTCTATCCTTTAATCTCTGCTCTGTGATGTGATGCACCAGTTGGGTTAGTGCTTATGTGAATTTTATTGATGTTATTTCTGGGTTTTACATATTTATTTCATTACTATTTATCAGATTCTTGGTGTTTGACATGGCTGGCCTCACTGGATTAAAGCCAAGTTTACTTTGTCTATTGTCATTAAGCAGAAACTCGGTAGATAACAGTAATTCACACAGGGAAGTGTGGAGGGGAAAAGAGTGTGCAAAGCATACTTTGACTTCTGTGTTTTTGGATGTAAATTTTCACTTTATTTCATTTTTTACACAACTGGAAGGAATTGCCTATATGCAGAGTTGTCCGATTTTCTTAATGTGTGGGTGTGTAATTGGACAGGAGGCCGGTTTTGATGTTTTAAATGACATGTTTTACACTTCACTTTAGGGTTATTACATATGCAATTATTTATATTATAAAATTAGACTTTTTAAAGATGTGTTGGTGACTTTTGTATGGATTTTTTTTTTTTTTTTTTTTTACAGCAGATGCCTCAGTATTATTTTATTGTAGCCTACTGAATGTGTCCAGGAGCCTACTCTGATTATTAATTTGACTTGTAAGTTATTTTGAAGAAGAGCTTCACAAATATTCCAATGATACTGTTCTTTTTAGACTCTGATAAAAGTTAGATACTGTTTTAAAGTCAAATAAATATATTGTTATGAACAATGTGTTGTGTTATGCTATGTATATCAATATTGGTTGCTACTGGTTTTGTCAAATCATTCACACTCAGTTTTAAAAAAGCTGGGGATATTCGTGATTTTGTTAAATCAAGGGGAGGGTATGGGATTCCGGAAGTGGTCCCTTTTAAATTGTCGTCATTTCCGGCGACATTACGCGCTTTCGTGAGAGGCAGAGGCAGTCATGGCAGACGAGAAACCAAAGGTGCGTGTGCAGGATTTTTTTCTAAATAAATGTTTTTATAAACACGACAATTCTTTGTTATATGATTAATCGGGGATTTTTAGAGTTTATTTTCTCTCATTTTTTTTTGTTAATTTATTCAGTTTCTTTGTGAAATGGTGATGGTATTCCATAATGCTAACGCGCTAATTATCCAGTTCGCTAATGTGCCTCGCAACCGTAGACCGTAATAGAAAGCTCACACCTCATACAACATTGCAAGTGATAAGACAATGCGTATATTAACGTTAAGCACTATATTTTGGAAGCGCGCAGTGTCCACAGCAGTTTCTCGCGAGCTCACTGACTTCGCGCGCAAAGCTCTGGACTCGCGAATTAGTACGTTACCGTCAGTGCAGACTTGCATCGTGGGTTTAACAAACGCGTTGTGTGAGTCCTTTTTGTCCCATTTGTGCATTTAATCATGTATCGACAGACTTCATTTTTTTTATTTATTTTTTTGAAAATAACTTTTAAAAAAGTCGTGTCACATTGGAAATGTGCTTCTCAAACCTATACAGAGGAGCAAACCTATACAGAGGAGCCCCCGCCACTGCACATTTTTCCATATTGACCACATCTAAATCAATATCAGTTGTTCAGTAGCAAGTTAGAGACTAGAAAAGTGAAAAGTGACTGATGAGAGAAATATGCAATGGTGGGTGAGGGTCCTTAAGACATGTTTGCGACCACTGCTCTTCACAAATCACTTAATTTAAAATCTGTAAGTTACTAAAAGAAAATGGCCATTTGTTTTTTTTTTTTTTTTTTTTTTTTTTTTTTTATTGCTGTTCTGTGGTTCAATACATCAACCCTCGGTTCTCTCAGATAAAGTAAAAGCCTAGTCCAAGAAAATGTTTGTTCGAGCTGTTTTAACTGAAAGCAACTTGCATACTCGTGTCTTAAATGTCAGTGACATTGTTTTGTTTAATTTTTTTTTTTTTTCTGAGGCAGATTTATAAAAGCTACTTAAATGTCCTAATGGGCTCTATGCACGGCGTTATTTCCGGTGAAGGATTAAGGATGCTCGATAACTTCCGCCGATCATAGAGTCCAATGCAATACCGAGATTTTATATTGAATTTTATACTCCATGGTTATACTAATGAAACGTTAGTCACAAAAACAGATAAAACAGACTCCCCTCGTTGTGTTTATGCTTTTTTTTTAAATTATATTAAATAAACATAACTATATATAAAATTACATCTAAACATATGTACGTTTCGTTTCAAAGACGGGAGGACAGTAAATATTGAAGACTCTGCCATAATCCCGTTTTCTCCGGTTTTCCTCCGCTTTAATCTACACAACCGGAAATGGACGAGCATCCTTACGTCAAATGCGGAACTTATGTGTGCATATAGCCCATTAAGATAATCCTGGCTTTATCTAAGCCCTGTCTGTGAAATCAAACCATGGTGTCCAAAAGTTTAGACTTTGGAGGACAGTGTTATTTTAGATGAGTAAAAGAACTTGTTTTGTCACTTTAGCTTTGTGAAACCTTTTATTGAATATGCTTATGATTCCAATATGCTGCAGTCTACTACATAATTTTGGCAAAGCAGGTATTTACTTATCTTTTGATGTTCATTTGATCTATTTATGATAACTGGTGTTTTACTTTTCATGTCAGGAGGGTGTAAAAACAGAGAACGACCACATCAATCTGAAAGTTGCTGGGCAGGATGGCTCAGTGGTTCAGTTCAAAATCAAGAGGCACACACCCCTCAACAAACTGATGAAAGCATATTGTGAGAGACAGGTAAAATTATTTTATTATTCAACTGCATCATTTACCTTCCTTTACATAAACCATCATCCTTTACATGCACAGGTTGTCCATACCTGCCAACTTGGAGATGGGTAAAGATGTGAATGTCTGGAAATAATTGGTTATAAGTTGTATGCAAATCTCATCTGTATAAGGGTTATGGAAACATAACTATTGGTTGCAGATACGTACTGTATGTGTTTGCAACCAATAGCTATGCTTTCATCACCCTTATACAGATGAGGTTTGTCACCCTTCACCCTTATACAGATGAGATCATTTTGAAGTATTGCATCAGAAACAAGTGATGGAATGTTAAATTCTCAAAAAAGCTTTTACTCTTACTTGGTGGTCATTGACTAGTGTGAAAAAGATTTCATGCGAATAATGGCAGATGGAAATGCATTTGCTGAATAAATTCTGATGTAGTGAACATTAAACCCTGTGACTGATCAGCTGTTTTTGCTGATGGTGTTTTATTTAGTGTTGGTTACCAATACCACCACCATCATCCGCTCTAACAACTTGATGCAAATGCACCCAACTCAGGGGGGTGAATTCAAGTTTATTGGGACACTTTTACTCCATCTCAATGGCAAGAAAGTGTCTCCAGCATGCTTAAGCAGTCAAGTCAACATTTGATCTGTTCACAGGGGCTATCAATGCGTCAGATTCGATTCCGGTTTGATGGGCAGCCAATTAATGAGACTGACACACCAGCTCAGGTAAAGTCACTGATATGACCTGTTCTGGATGTCACCATGTTTAAATTATTCATATCGTTTATAGTGTTTTATTAATTTTTTTTTTTTTCTATTTGCAGTTGGAAATGGAGGATGAGGATACAATTGATGTATTTCAGCAACAGACTGGGGGCCTGATGTAAATACGGACCACTGCCCTCCAGCATCATGTCCTCCTCTCTGTCCCCGGCATTTCTTTTAATAGGCTGACCTCCTTCCACCTTGCCAAAACCTGCGCTCTAAAATGCCCATCAGCTGTCCCAAATCGGATGAATGGCTTTCTTAAAATATATTTGTGTAAACACTGATGTATTTCATGTGTTAAGACTAAAATGCTTTTGATCAGTCATCAGATTTGGTATTTAGAACTTAGGTCAGTGTCGGTTCTAAAGTACTGTTTTGTTTGCTCAGAGCCATTGGACTTTTTATAAATATTTTATATATGTTGATGTATTTCTCTTTTGTACTCAGGCTAATTTTATTTAGTGACTTGTGTTGTGAGTTGAAATGTTGATAAGATTTTGTGTTGGAATAAAATTGTTTTACAAAACAACTTGAGGCTTTTTTTTTTCTTTTTCTGCATTACATTTAATGGAAATAGCAACATGGTTAAACGGGACATTGGGTTTCCATGCTTTTATTTAGATTCATTTGTGGTTTACATACACCTTGTGGAATCTAATATAATTTGAGGGACTCATAACTATTCTAAATAGTGTAATTACCTACAGATCCTCAAGAAGGCAACACAAATAGGAGATGGGGTGTACATTTTTAATAGGGTGGTAATGGGAAATTGACAAAGTTTAAATATATATATTTTCTTTTTAGTACTGCTCTCTAGAAGCTTAAATATTTCAGATAAAATATAAATAAAACATGTACAATTTACCCTTATCACTAGTATGAGTCAAGGTTTGCTATATAGTTTTGTATGAGTCCTTCAAATGTAGACAGGTTTTAATCTAAATTAAATCTAATCTAACTGTATGGTTACCATAGGATGGTTACACAAGTGTTTGTAAGTACTCTCTGGCGCCGCTCCAGTGGCGGATCTGTAGAAGTGCAGTATTAATCGCGTCTAATGGGCGTGTACCGGAGCGCAGATTCAGCACTAGAGACTGATGACCTGAGCAGGAGACGCTCTTTGTGGCTTGATGACAATAATCTGTGGAATATATTGTGGGAAAAGCAGTGAACAGAAGCTTTGAGTGTTCCAGATGACAACCACCACCACTTATCAAGGCATGGATCCGACCGGGAGGAGCAGCTCCAGGTTCTTATAATATAGAATATCTCTATTGGATAACAATACTCAAGCGGTTTAGGCTGTAGAAAACAGCAAATTATTTAAGATAAATGGCTATGGTATCTCAGAACATTATATGAGATGACATATCACTGACAAAAGACAATTATTCTTTAGCTGAACGATATTGTTTTAAAAAACGGATGGCGATGCTGATGAGAATGAGCACCATCTTCGGAACAAACATTGCTTTTTGGGGATAAAATGGTACCTCGTAGCTCAAAGGCAAAGTGTATTGGATTTTAAAAAGGCAGGATTTTGGTTTATACATGCCTGCTTTATTGCACTGACATGTGCTTCCCTGGCAGTGTCTGAAGACAGCTTTTTTTTTGAGAGACAACAGAGGCGCGTGCAGCATTTTTTGAGACATGCGGTCGCTTTCCAAGTCTTAGTAATGCACAGTGCTCCAAAATTCTGTCTAGGTTGGCAACTCGCTTGCGGCCTCTGGCTGCAGTATTTTCAAAAGGACAGCCACACAATTAATGAATTGTTGAGTTATTAAAACATCGTAGGCTATTCACTGCACTGTATCAGTCGTTCGTACATTTGAAGAGTCCCTCACCACGCTTTCTCAGTACGAGGATGCTTGAGCGCGCGCGCGCGTGTGGTTAAGGTTGGGTGCGGTTCAGCTGCTGTAGTAAAGAATTATACGCTCCCTGTTTTCAGTTTTCAGTCTAACTGGTGGATGGATTTTGAGTGAGATTGATTTCAGCATGCTTAAAACAATATCAGCTCATAAGTTAATTCAAGCTGTCTTAGCAATAAGAAATGAAAAAATATTTTCATTTACTGAATAGTAGTAGAATAAATCAAATTCAAATAATAAATGTACATGTGCAATTAGGAATACATACATCTTACGTCTGCACAAATTCTTACATTTTCATTTAAAAAGAAAATCTTAAGCCACAAGGTTTCTTTTTTCTTTCTTTATTAAAGGCAAACTCTGCTTAATCACTTAATTTTACTCAACATTCTGTTGTTTTATTCTGTTCTATGTGGCCCTCATGGGTCTGTCATTTTGGATTGATGTTGCCCACAACACCTGTGCAATGTTGGGGTATAGCCTACACTATGTGACAAAACAAACAGTCAAGAACTGTATCCCACCAAAAACACACACACAAAAAAAACTTTTAAAATGTAGGTAATGCACATAAGGACAAGTAGTGATCGCTGATCAGTTAAAAAAGTTGCATATGACAACCTATTTTTAAAATTTCTGTGGTTTCTATCTCAGAGTGCTGCGTCCACCTGGTGGAGGTTCAAACATCTGCTTTGGCAACGATGAAGACAAATCTGTGAAAAAACACAAAATGGCATCTAGTATATTTGCTGAACCCGAGGACCCGCATGCCCATCGGAGGAACAATCCACCAGGTGCTGATTTTTCTTATTAATGATTCCTGTCTCATCTTTTACTTTTTAATAGTTTTCTAGGCAGTGTTACAGGGGTGGTTGATTGCGATTTCACTATTTTCATTTTAAATAGTTTGTCATGTTGCTGTTGGTGCATGAACAGTATCTGCAAAGTTGCAGCGCTGAAAGTTCAATGTAAGTAGAGATATCGTCTTTTAAAAATCAGGAAGTTTAATGCCTACAAAAACGACTCGAATGGGACTACAACAGGTTTTAGGCGTCACTAACCCATACATTTGCATCAACCCTCAACCCATATGCAAAAAAGGGCATGGCCATATTTCTGAGGCTCGAAAGTGGAAAGTGTTTTATTTTCACACAGCTGTCAGGTCTTCTGTGTTCGGGCTTCCCACGGACGTTGTAGTTCGTCAACAATGGATACAATTTATATTTGATTATGTTCCTGAAAATGACGATCGCAATTTAGCTCTCTGTGCTGCGCATTTTAAGAAAAACAGCTTCCAGAATCTTCACGAATTCAATGCCGGATTCAACAAGAAACTATTACTAAAACATGAAGCAGTTCCAACTTAAAAACCAGTGGCAGCAGTTGTTGGGCCACAACCTGTAAGTAGGCTAAAGACTTAATCATTTAAAGAGTAACTAAACACTTAACCAACTTTTTTTAGTTAATGATCTGTAAGAATGGATCTTTATTAATACCAGTCATTGATTCGAGTAACTTTTTTGGCATTTGTTTATAAAGTGTTCTATTTCTACAATATATGGTGTAAAAACGTCTGAGTGCTGCCCTCTTCAGGTTGAACGGTGGCTACTGCAGTTGAATTTTCCTATTGGATGTTTGCGGTGGTACATGACACAGCGGTTGTTGGTGACATAGGCAAGTTTCATACAAAGAGATGCGTCTCAGGTGCACGCCCCCCTCCGCTGGGCTCTTCCCACTTTTCCAGCATTTTTTCAAATATTGCCAGTGGGTGGAGTCAGGCTCTGACCAGGGGTTTAGTTACCCTTTAAAATGTATTTGCATGTATAATTTCAGATATAATGTTTTAGTTTTATCAAATGCTAGCACTGGCTTTATAGCCACTAGGCTAGTTATGCTATTTTGTGTCTACAACAAATGCGTACATACATTTTGGACCTGAATTTTGTATATGTACTAATATTGTAAATGTATTTTTCATGTATATATACTTTATGGTGTTATTTTTCGATTTGATCAAGAACGTAAACCAGTGCCAGCCAACGCTGTTTTTGTATATAGTAGCCAGTTAGTTCGATGCTACTTATTTTGTGTAAGACAAACGTGTATAAAGTTAAAAAATAAAGGGCAAATTACCATTCAGAAACGTTTTGTAAGAGCCGTGTGTGGTGAGGTTCTGCTTGACTCTCTTCATTGCCGCTTTCCGGGTCTGATTCTGGCTCATACTGATACTGCAGCATCGACACCATTATTTACATTTGACAGGAACAACACATGCAACTTCGCCCGTAAAGGTAATGGCCGTGAATTTTCTGGACAACGTGCACTACAGTTTAGCCAATCACAACACACCGGCCCAAACTAACCAATCTGAGCCCACTGCCTGTTTCTGAGGGAGTGTTTTCATAGACTCAGGAAGTCAACCGGTCGTTCAAATGACGGAGGAGAAAGCGGCTTACAGTGAAGGTATAATTTATGAAAAATAAGACTTTTAAAAAAAGAAAAACCTTGAATACATGTTAACATTAAATACATATACACCACATTAAACACAATCATGCAAAGAAAAAAAGCAATAAACCACCCCTTTTCACACGGGGGCAAATTCTGTTCACACCGGAGCAAAATTTCGCTCGCGATATTCACCGACGTTTAACGCTTCGTGACCAAGCGTGCCGCACAAGCCCACAAAAGTGAAGCCAAAACGTCTCAATCGCCCCCCTGTGACCGGTCCTAGTATAGGTCATAACCCCCGCCTCCCCACGTTATTCAACGGGACGTGAGACCAACTAAACAATTAAAATACACTTCACATATCCTTTTTCCAAAGATAGTTTCTGTCATTTACTGTAGTTTATATGATGCTTGTGTAATTTCAAATGTTTGTTTTTAAAATAAGTTTGTATTTAGTTAGTTATTTGATGCTTTAAACACGGTGCTGTGACATCGTGATTGACTGTCATCATGATTGATTGTCTGTGAGAAGTAGTCACTGCTGAAGCACCAGCGGACTTTTTTCATAATGTTGACTATGTGGTATTTACCTTATTTTAACGAGGTACTGCAATCAGCGGACATCATTGGAGACAAAGTGTCACGGCCGGTTGAAGTGAACAAGAGAGTAGGATCCATTTGCATTATTTATTAAAAATACAAACTCTTAACTACAGAAATGTGAACTCCAGACAGAACAACCAGCTCACAAACATTAAAGGAGAACTCCGGCGAACAATGAACCTTTGGTCTAATAAAACATCGGTACATAGTCAACCGTTCTCTGAAATTTCTTTTCATGATAATCGAATGTAAAGAGTTTTATCTCTAAAAACTGTTTAGCGTATAATGCTAGTAATGGGGGCATTGACTAAGCAAAAAGAAATCGCTAGTTTATACCACTAACAAGGCTCAAAATAGCCCCACACTAACGCAGTAACATAATGAGGCTCCATACATACGTAAGTGTACAGACCGTTTAATAAGAAGATATTTTATGAAGACAGTTCACTTCGCGTATACAGACAGGAGCCATCTTAAAAAATAGTCTCGATAAATCGAACCACGAACGTCGTGCTGAGTGATCTGAACTCTAAGAAGTTCAACGAACTTCTGAACTGTATGAATGGCGTTCAGGGATCGACTTACCGAGACTATTTTTTAAGATGGCTCTTGTCTGTATACGCGAAGTGAACTGTCTTCATAAAGTATCTTCTTATTAAACGGTCTGTACACTTACAAAGTTCTCAATGCTTCGTTTTGCATGTATGGAGCCTCATTATGTTACTGTGTGAGTGTGGGGCTATTTTGAGCCTTGTTAGCAGGGCCGTGCAGAGACCTCTGTAGGGGCAGGTGCTCAAAATATAAAATGGGGCACATGGAAACAAGGCTTTATAGGGCTGTGCTCAAAATATCAATACAGTGATATATATATATATATATATATATATATATACAGATGATTCTGCATCGATACAGCAGCAAATGCATTGATGCAGTTTTGAAAAAGAACCAGAACAGAAAAGACAAATTTAAAGTTTAAAATTAAAAAAAATAATTGATGTGCTCTATATATAACTCTGGGATTAGAAACTGAAGCATCTTAAGTTGTTCCAACCTGATGGCTTTTTCTTCTCTGTTATACAGAATAATTAAGAACAGCTGTTATAGTGAACTGTATAGGACAAAATCAACCTGGCCCATGTTTTGTGCAGTACAGTATAGTTTTATTTAATGGCATATCAGCATCTGTGGTTATTTTTATGGCAAAAAGTGATTTACAAAAATACAAGAGTTACATTTTATACAATGAATATAAAAAACAAAGCAAACAGAAACAGCAATTAATACTTTACAAGATTTTTAACATTAATGTGTTGCCTGTTCTGGTAAATTCTTACTTAAGTCCTTAAGTGAGTTTGCTGCCTTTGCTGTTGATGTTGTTACTGCTGCTGCTGATACTGCTGGAGTTGATCTGAGACGGTAGACATTAAAATAAACAGAAATATAGGGTATTAGCTGAATAAACCATTTTTATGTGACCATGTCAAGATGTAAAGATGGCTGACAGTGTTTGGAACGGGCTCACTAGTTCACTGACCTGCTAAAGCTACAGATTCTACCCAGGCTGCTAAAGTATATAATACAATAATAGTATATTAACGTTAGTTATAGTAATAGTAACGTTACTAGGGCAGATGTTCACAGAGGCTTCTGCACACAAAACATAAGATACTAACTGGTTCACAACTCTTACCAGAGTTGTGATAATCATTTTTATGTGAAAATATTTTTTTTAATAAATACTGTAATAATAATAATAGTTTTTAGTCAAATAACACCCCAAATAACACCCCTCACTCAATAACACCGCCCGTGAAACTTTTCTCCCTCAAACAGCAAGCTAACGTTACTTCTACAGCCTACACACAGCAATACAAACAACATCTCTCTGCATGCTCTCTTCACGTCGTTCTAGTAAAATTATAATAATAAGTAAACAAACATCAAAATCACTTCGCTGAGAATAGAACGCCACTTACCAGCAGCCGCAAGACTTGGAAGATATCCTCTGGAAATGCGCGATTGCTCGTAGCCGCGCGAAATTATAAAATGCGCGTGCAGCGTGAGGAATCAGGTGAAAGGTCATCATGTGGGTCATTTTATTTACGGCTAAATTATTATTCATTCATTTTACTACTAGTTAGATGGGGCAGGCATCCACAAAAGTGCCTTTAAATACAAAAAAGGAGAGGAAATTTTGTCTTGACAAAAGGGCACTTTGGGCACCAAGGGGCAAAAGGGCAGGTGCTCGAGCACCCAACGCCCCCCCCTCTGCACGTGCCTGCTTGTTAGTGGTATAAACTAGCGATTTCTTTTTACTTACTCAATGCCCCCATTACTAGCATTATACGCTAAACAGTTTTTAGAGATAAAACTCTTTACATTCGATTATCATGAAAACAAAACTCAGAGAATGGTTGACTAGGTACCGACGTTTTATTAGACCAAAGGTTCATTGTTCGCCGGAGTTCTCCTTTAAGCACTCACAAAGACTACACAAGACACACAGGCTTAAATAAGCTAACATGATAACGAGAGGGTGTGGTCAATGAGAAACACCTGGGAAGAGGATTAACACGCAGGGAACAATTAACCAAGAAGATTACAAAACCCACAAGCAACCCCAATGAACCCAAAAAAATTCAAAAGATTCAGCGAGGGTGAGGGCACGGCCTTGATTTCGCGGCTTTACTTCCTGCTCACGACTGCGCATGTCTGGTCCCGAAAACGCAAAGTGCGCAGACTCAAGTCCCAAGATGTCAGCGCCATATCGGGACATTGGCGGCTTCAGTTCTCTCCGATGGAAAAGAGCGGAGGAGCATCGTCCATCTTTTTTACAGTCTATGCTTGTGACTAAACAAAGGGCGCCAATTTGAGAGTGCACAGCCGACGCAAAAAAAACCCCGCAAATGCATAACAGCGTCATTTTTTAAAAAACGCCTCGGGTTCGTTTTTTTGGTTTGACATGCCACGTCAAAAGCTATCCAACCAATGAGATTGGTAGCTTTTGTTCTCGTGTCTAGCTTCTGAAGTTACAGTATAACACAACTTGGGGGCGCTCAAACACAAAACGGTCTTGCCAAACACATACGTAACGGAGAATATATACGCCAAGTAGCGTCTACACTGCCTAAGAAATAAGACGAGGTAGATGCATATGACAAATGCGACAGCGAGTACAAAATAGGACTATTTCTGTTTTACATTAAGCTCCATCTAATGTCAGGGAATGAATTTGTCTGTTCACTCGGGTCATCATCAACGAAAATCGTCTGGGTGTGAAAACAAAAGACACGTTGAAAAACCCTGGCAAATAACTCACGCCGATATTCGTCCTGGTGTGTACTGCCCTTTATTCCCTTGCATTTGGGATGACTAAACCTTTGAGAAATTAAGAAATATTTAAATTATGGTTTTATGAGTATGCACTGCTTTAAATGTGTGTGTGTTTTTTTTGTTTCAGACTTAAGCTGCTGGTGGAAGCAACAATAACTTTATGTGACTCACTTTAGCATGTGTGATAATGAGCAATCAAATGCTGAATGTGTTTCAGTTCCACATTTAAAAACTTGCTTAGTCTTGCTAATTCTTAAAGGTGCTGTCTGTAATTTTTTGACCGTACTAAAGCATACAAATACAGATATTTATGAAACATGCTAAGTTTAAATATTTGTTTCCCTGAAAAATAATAAATCAGCCAGTTATTCTACTTTGAAATGTGTGCTCCGTGACGGTTTGGCGGAAAACACAACATATTGCAGCCATGGAAGACCGCAAATGAACTGGGACAGAGATGGTAGAATCTACCCAACCTAAAAAGCCTCAGCATCCATCTAAAAAGATCTATGTCTAGAGTCATGTTAAAATGTGATAGTGTTTTGAATTGGACTGCAGTACCAATTTCAACCACTAGCTGTCAACATTACTTACGGCACCTTAAAACAAATGATATTGATATTGAATAAAATTAAAAATGATAACTAATGTCACTTCTTTACAGAACATTATTTTGCTTAAAATGCTCTTTAACATATTTTCATGCATAACAAAGAATAAAATACAACTTGTATGTCTGGGCTGCAAGTATCCTCTATTGTTTATGAGCTCAATGCACAGATACTTTTACAGTTCTTATTTGTTTGAAAGGTGGGAAACCTACAGGTGTGTTGTGTGGAGAGCCATCTGCCCCACTCAGAAGGTGTACTGCTCAACCAGTCAACCAAAGTAGCACCACACTCGACAATGTACCTGTGGTAAGTTATAGAGACAAGTTCAGTCATTAATGAGTGAAAACAAACGTGTGACCTTGGATCGAAGTTCAGACTGACTTCAAAGTGGTTGCATAATTTGTAAATGTTTTTTTTTAATCTATTACTGAGAACATGCTTTATTTTTGCACAGAATGGTGATGAAGACTCAGTCAATGTTGGTAAGTGTTCTAACCATTCATTTAAATTTGCATCATCAACACTTTTTTATTTAACACGATGACATGAACCTATTATGAGCATGTTTTTAGTTAGTTTCATTTTAAGATTTTTTTTGGAAGGCATAAAGTAATACATTTCCAATAATTTAATCTTTTTATGACGAGTTAGTTCAGTTTGTAAAAATATATAAAGGGTTTTCAAAATTATATGAACCAGTGTAATTAGAGTAATTTGATAAAAAAAAATCATTAAAATATTGATTTGTCATGGACACGTTTGTCTTACTCTCACTGTCTCACAAGGGTGAGAGTAACTGATGTGGCAAAAATATAATAGAACAAAAAAAATTCTTTCCGTTTATTTTTATTTAAATGTTATAAAATGATCTGACAATTAATTATTATTATGTTCACAGATAGCACAGAAGAACCTAAAGCTGTTGAGGAGCAGCATGACACACCAGCTCCACCTTGCCTCTCTGCAACAGAGCAGCCTGCAGCTGGCCTTCCTTCTGGCCGTAGAAACCCACCAGGGGGCAAATCTTCTCTCATCTTAGGCTAAAGATTTGCTGCACTTAAGGATAAGATCTGGGCCCATGTGAAACGAGCATCTCAGAGTAAATGTGCTGTTCTGTATTCAGTGCTCATCCTCTGCATAACTATTCATAAGCCACAAAGAACTGATTCAGATCAGGGCAATTTAGTCAGAGAGGTGTGCCACAAATCTCTGAGCTTTGATTCATTCAAAGAATGTCTTTGAATGTGTCGAGTGTTGGTCTCTCAGTCTTGCGTCGACTAAAGATCCCTTAGGAAAAAACAAATCCTGCGTATGCACTGCTACTCTCAGATACTACAAACCATAGGCCAAAATATCCCATCAAAGTTCTCAACATTACCATTTAGGAGGTTAAACTTCATTCACATGAGCCTAAGAAATGTCTCGCTGATTCAGTGTTTGTCTCCGTTTTTCTGTATTAAGTTTTTGTCAGCACTTTATGAACTGTGGCGCCCAAATTGTGGTGCCTCAGACCTGCTGGTTAAAACACACATTTTAACATTCATCACTGCGGAGAGAAAAAAAAAAAAAAAAAAAAAAGCTAGTTGATGTACTTCACTGATATACTGAATGCTGAAGAGATGTTTACAAAAGAACAAAAATGCAATGAGGTTTAACAGTTTCATAATAAATCATTGCCTGTACATTCAGGTGGTGTGGTTAGAGTTGGCAGAGCAACAACATGAGAGTGCAATGAAATACTGTGTTACCTTATAGTCACTAAAGTGACTTTTCTGTGCCAGAAAAGGTGCATGTGAGCAAGCTATTATTTATTTGGGTTTGTTACAAAACAAAGTTATAAAATATGTACAAAAATACAAACAACAGCCACAGTGTAAAGCCATTTTATCTAATCATTCATCAAGACTAGTATTCCATATTCACCAACAAGATAGAAAGTTATTGCCTTGTTATTTTTGACGTATGCCAAAAAGGTGCTGTATTGTTCTTTGACTTCTTGGAGGAAGTGTGTAATAGAGTGTTCATTTTTTTTAAATGTACATGAGGTTTTCTCAAATTAAAAAAAATATATATATATATATTGTCTTTGTCTGTGTTGCCCTGAGAATAGATACAAATGTCTCTGCCGTCCAACTTAAGTAAATGACTTTACCAGTATTTCTTCAAATTCTCCATATACACAAACTATTGTATTATTAAGCGTAACATAATAGGCTATTATATATAATATAATAGTGTATTATTACCTTTACTGTAAAAGGTGTGTTTACATAACATATAGCTAAGTGAAAGTAAAAGCAGCCTTTGATCACAAACACGATTACTGATCTATGACTGGATTGCTCCTTGCGTTCTAAGCCATAGCATGTAAAATACAATATCATATCTATTTTATGTCTATGCACAGCACTCAACACCTCTAGAGAGAATACCTAACGCACAGTGAGCTAGCCATCGAATGAATTCCCGCGTCTTGCCAGAAGATGGCGCCCACAGATGATATGAACCATTCATCCATTAATTTTCCAAACCATTGGCGTTTCAATGGGTTCAATGTGGCTATGGCGTAATCTCAACTCATACAAATAAATACAATTTTAATTTATTTTTAAGTTGTTTGATTTAGGTTTATACATGCTAGTTTCCATGACAGAGTTCAAGAGAAAAAAAAATCATCTTACTGTCTGCATCTGCCAGTATAGCACTCACAACACAAACTATTCTCACAAGACTGCAAAAGCGACAACCCCTGTCCGAATCCGACTCTCTCAAATAAATAGGCTATAGGCTATTAGTTGAGTATAGGCCTACTCCTCCCTAGTATTTGCTTTAGTTTTAGCATGTTGTTTGGGGGCAGATTTAGGCAGGTGTTTATGGAGATTAGTATAATATGACAAAATGATTTGAATTTGAATTGTGTAGATTTGAATTTGAATTTTATAAACATTTAGCCTATTTCAAACAGCTTTTATTTTATTCAAACAGCTTTTTTATTCCTTTTTTTCCCCTGATTTCTTAGACTGCAAATAGGCCTATCCTGTTTTTAAAAGCACAGATTCAAGTTTTCAAGATGAAGAAATATGGAACTTCAAATTCATTTTTATTAAATTCAAAACATGCATTTTTTTTAAAAAGAGTTTTTAAATCAAACATGTTAAAGGAGAACAAGAGGGAATGCATTGACGTCACTTTCCCGACTAAAAATGCGACTAAAACGAACAATTTTATCAATTTAAACTAAATGTTGGACTCAATAACTAGTGTGATCCTAACTCACTAAAGATCCAGTTATCCATGGATATTGACATGCAGCCAGGAATCGTGTTGCCGACATTTGTTTGCCGGGAATTAAAGGAGTAGCCCTAGTTCACTTTTAAGGCGAGACACTACATGTGAATAGGGTAATTTTTTAAAACTAGCAGATATCAACAACATGAAACTTTCCCAGTTGATTACCTATATTAAGATAAATATCCAAATGAGGTATTATCTACTCTACCTAAATATGCACTAATTTGCATATTATGATACGGTCGGCAACGCGTCATCGTTGGGGGGCGTGGTCGGCGTGGGGAAAAGCAGCACGACCATCTTATGTATTTGAATGACAAAAATGTCATATTGCGAGTCATTTATGCCTGCCGACCGGCAACGGTACATTGCAAAATTAACTGTAATAGGTTATGATTGCCCTTATTTAATTAAAAACTGGGTCAATGACCCAACCAAATGGCCGGAGGAGTCGTTTCCAGACTATAATTGTTATCTGGTTGAATCTCCAGGTAAGACACGGTAAGACATCGCGGAAGCTACCGGAAACACAAGCCAAGCTCAATCAACTTTGGTATAAGTTACTACCCAGACAGCAAACTGACATTGAATCAACGTGGAAACGACGTCTCTCATGACATTGAAACAACGTTGATTTGCTCATCGAATTAACGTTGAACCAACGTCAGACGCGGCATTCTTCAAAGCTAAATGAAATCGAAAATTTGGTTTGCTTTCATAACGTTGAAACAACGCGTTGATTTCAAGTTGATTTTCCGTTAGTTTTGAAAAGAATGACGCGTCTGACGTTGGTTCAACGTTAATTCGATGAGCAAAACAATGTCAGATCAACGTTGTTTCGATGTCATATTTCCACGTTGATTCAATGTCAGTTTGCTATCTGGGTATAAGTCCATAAAATGTCACTTACCAATTGTAGGCTATGTATGCTTCACTCCAAACTAGTAATCCTTAAAACGGTGATCAGCAGTAGAAGTTGCAGAGGGACTTTGCTGACAGTTATCCGAATTCTCACAGACTGCAGAGTCTGATAACCTTCAGCTGATAACGCCAATGTGACTGAGACATCCCTTATGAAAAACAACTAAAGGAATCTTGTAGTATTTTAGGACAAAATATTATAGTAACGTTAATCCTATAGGAATACTATAGTAGTTTGGGACATAGCCTAGAAGTATAGAGGTATTAAAGAACATCACAGAAGTATTATACACTACTATAGAATACTAATTAGCATATAGGATTACTATAGTTCTTTTTCGTAAGGGATGTAACGTCAGACAAATCTGGCCCACTGCCTAATACGAGTTAAACATCTACTACTATATCACACAGGGATCTCTACTCACTAGGGCTGCAACTAACGATTATTTTGATAATCGATTAATCGGACGATTATTTTTTCGATTAATCGATTAATCGGATAAAAAATTATATTCCATTTTTTTTTTTATTATAACAAAATAAAACCATAAAAACCACACTCTTTTGTGTGTTAAACAATCTACTTAATACAGACAACTTCATTATAAAGAAAAACAACAAATAAAAAGATATATATGACCATAACCTATGACAAAAATGCTATTGTAAACTAGATTAGTGGAACTCAGCAAAACATAGCCTAGAAATATCACAAGTGCACAATAATTTTATAAAATCTGAACATTTAGTGAAAAAAACATTCCTTAGTGGGGAACAAATAAGAGACAATAAGTGTAGCACTAACTCTGGTAAAACGTACACATTGCTCTTTGTATTGTTGTTATACATTCATGAAAAACATCGTAAAAATCAGATGCACAACTGTTTTAAATGTAAAGCACAGCTGTTTAGTGATGAAGCAAAATATAATAGATAGGACAGAACAAGAAAGGCTATTAATAAGCTTTCATTGCGCAAAAGTATTATGACATGATCATGAAAGAGCTGCACAAAGTGCTTATGCGCATCGCGAGCGCTGAATGATGCGTTTTCCTGATAGCGGTTTCCTGATGACCGCAAATTAGTTCAAACTCACGGAATCAAGAGCGCGCATGCGAGACAGAATATAATGTGCTCCAAACCGTCCGTGTTGCGCGCGCGAGACAGGGTAGAGCGGCGAGGGAGAGAGACTGTATGTGCGCCTCATGAAGCGCATGTAAGAAGCGCATGTTCCATGTAAACAATCCCCGTGACGTAATCAGACCAACTAATCGATAATGACATTCGTTGACAACGATTTTCATAATCGATTATAATCGATTTTATCGATTAGTTGTTGCAGCCCTACTACTCACACAGTAATCTAATAAGATATGATTAATTTTGCCATTTTGTCCTCCTATCCGGTTCTGTATGTATGTAAGAAAGGCTGTAGAAGTTCAATTTATAATTTGTTCGTTTATTGGTGGTACAGAAAACAACACAGCAACTCTTCGGCATGATTGTCCCATGTATTTCAATGAGCGCCAAGGCAATGTTTTCCCCCACGGGCTAAATTCACATCACGTGACGGGGCGTTCCCGGGGGCGTTCCCAGACCAACCGACTGTATCTATTGGATAAAGCCAGGTTCAAAATTATTTTTTCATTGTGTTCACATATTAGATGAGGGAAAAAAAAGTTTGTAGTCAAAGTATGGGCAGGCCATAGTCAATGTAAAGCATATTGTTGACGTTTAGTCCCTATCAGTGAATGTGTCATAACTGTTTATCTGCCGTCATCGGTAGCCCTGTTTACTAGCCTGCGCGTTCATGACCGGCTCTGCTGTGGGGGACGAGCTGTGAAGGGAGGGCTGGTAGCGCAGCAGAGCATAGAGCAAGGGGGTGGGACCTGTAGTTGTGCTTGTTCAAATTTTCAGACTAAGTCAACGTTTTCTCAAAACTCAATACTGCAGCTTTAATGCTTTTTCTTTGTTCAAGGAGCAGTTCATGGCTCAAAAGGCTCTTTCACGGTGGCTTTCAGTCGACTTCAGTTAGGCGCGGTGGTTTATGGGAGGAGTAGTTCCTTTGCTTGGTAATTAAAATATGTACACAGGCTTGTACCTTTGACTTTTTTTGGATTTTCTCTTTGTTTTTTCACTCGAAATGATATGTTGTATGCTTATGAGTTCAGCCGTAGCTGGTTATCCTCAAACATGATCTCTTTAATACTCTTTAGATATGGATTTTACAAAATGTCAATGGGAGAAATTAATGGGAAATTTACTTCCGGCACCAGCGCTCTCTCGGACTGTGGGCGGGACTGTGATGCTCTATAGCGGCAGAGAGAGAGAGCAGCTTGA